ATCTTTCTGAAATCAATAACGATTAAATATATAGGGTGGTGACAATTTCGATGCTCAACATTGATCTTGGTATCTTGATTAGTTTCGAATTTATGTCAACAACATGAAAATAATACGTTAGTTTTAAATGACAATATCTTTAGAACTATTGTATATATTGTAACGTAATAAGTTGGTAGGTGGTATTTTTCACCTCGGCCAATTAAATGCCGTTTTCAGAAAATTTATAAGGCTTCTAGATTTCGCACAACAGTCAAGTTTTTGTTTTCTTATGGCCGCTATTTTAAATTTTTATACTATTAGATAGAGCAAAAAATAATTTATATTCATTATTATACAGGGTGCTACAAATTCGAGGTACTAGCATTGGTATCTCGGAAGCCGTAAGAGATACGAAGATGGTTAAATTGGGGCAAAGTTGCGCTTTAGGATGTTCACCAAGATACCATCAAAAAGTTTTAAAAATTTCAAGGATTGCTGAGTTTTTTGGAAAAAACGGATTTTTTTGAAAATCAATTTTATTTTTTCCTGGCGTTACTTTTTAGAAAATCAAAAAACTAATTACACATTCTCATGGCTACTTTATTAGGGCTATCTGATAGTATTTTTAGATTTTCAAATTAGCTGATAATTTGTGAGATACAGGGAACAACTTAATTTTTTTAAATACGGACCTGCATTTTTTATTTCAGATTTTGAAAGAACTCGGTCTCCTGAGTACAATGATATGCCACACTTAACATTTTTTTTTGTTTCGGACATTTGAACACAATTTAATTAAACTAATGTTAAGTCCGGCCCTGTTTTTTTTAATATTTAATCTATTCATCGTTACAATATTGGTAAGCTTTCAAACTTAACAATGACGCGGAGTAAAACATTGAAAACGGATAATCAAATGCAATTTAATAATAAAAAATAATATAAAATTATTGGGCATTACTTGACGTCATTTTTAAAAGTGAGAATACATTTCAACATTACAATAAAGAGTACAGAATGCATTCGGAAGTATAACAAGATAATATGTTCAAAGAGCTATAAATAAGATTGAACGAAAAATACATTAATTTGTGCATTAGGGACGGTGGTAACCCTTTCGAACATGTAGAGCATTACTAGTTTTAGAAAAACTATTTTGTAGAAGTTGATTTATTTATAATAACTACAATTAATATTATGTATATTATTAGATCGTACACTGAGATTTCAAAATCATATGCCCTGAGTATTATTTGTTTGAATCTTTCAATTGGCTCGATTCAATGTTAATTAGCGCTGATCCATATTGTTGCGATGAACATAATCAGATTAAATAATTTAAAAAACCAGAATGGGACGTGAAATTATTTTAAATAATAATTAAATAGTTTTGTTATTGGTAAGGTACCTAAAACAAAAAAAAGTATTAAGTGAGTTCTTTCAAAACTTCAAATAAAAAATGCAGGTCCGTATTTAAAAAAAATAAGTTGGCCTCTGTATCTCACAAAATATCAGCTAATTTGAAAATCTAAAAATACTATCAGATAGCCCTAATAAAGTAGCCATGAGAATGTGTAATTAATTTTTTGATTTTCTAAAAAGTAACGCCAGGAAAAAATAAAATTGATTTTCAAAAAAATCCGTTTTTTTCCAAAAAACTCGGCAATCCTTGAAATTTTTAAAACTTTTTTGATGGCATCTTGGTGAACATCGTAGAGCGCAACTTTGCCCCAATTTAACCATCTTCGTGTCTCTTACGGTTTCCGAGATACCAATGCTCGTACCTCGAATTTGTAGCACCCTGTATAAATTCACTAAAAAATAGATTTTTTAAAAATTCGCTCAAAAGATCAAGTCTGCCTTGGAAATACATTTGACACTTTATATGGCGGCAAGTTAATTTTTGTTTACTCTAAGTGTCAAATCTGGACACAAAAATTTATAGTAGATAGTGTAAGGTGTATTAACAGTCAACAATGTGCTCACAAGTGAGGAAAAACGAGATATGTATGATGTTTACTTAAAAATAATCGAAATTCTACTTTAAATTTAAATGTTTTAATAGAAATTCTACTTTAATTTTAAATGTTCTAAATTATATAATAGAAATTAACTTAATTAACAGTTTTTTTATATGCTTGTGATCACGAGAGAAGATTACAATTTTGTAAATTGTTTCGGGAAAGTGTTCATCTGAATCTGATCTAAAGTGAATTAATTCATTAGTCGTTTTTTACATTGGATTCAAGTTCTTTCTCACATATTGCGATATTTTTTACTTTTTAACAGAACGTCAACGGTTTCTTGTAGACGCATCTGTTTTAAAAAAGTAAAGTGTTCTCGAATAGTTGAATTTAAATATTTTAAATAGTTTTTTTCTTTATTCTTTGTATTTTTTTTGCTTCCGACGACGGAAAGAGATAACTTTCCGAAACGTTAAGCATTTTTTTTTCTTTGTTAGGCAAATTTGTATTACTGTAAACATAACTTCTGACAAGCAACGTCCGTTTGGTTTAACGCAGAAGTGTTTACAAAAAATAATTATTTTATTTTGTAGATTTTCTTGCAGTGCAGTGGCGAAATACCCATAAAGGATTTTTTTAGAAACTTTTCATTTACTTAGCTATGCTGATTGAACTTTTTTTTCTGTAACAGACATCGTATTTACAGAATTATAGACATAAAATAAATTCTGCCAGACTCATTTTTTAAACGATGCAACCATATACATGCTCTGATTTCCATTTGTGGTCAAGTTGGAATTTCAAAAACAGGCGACCGTGACAAGTGACCATCTGTAAAGCGCCTGCTAGATAACCATCGGCTTCACTTAAACCGATGCTCATTTATTTTTACGATGTTTTCCAGTCCGTTGCGATCTTCATTTTTGTTCTTATTATTTTTTCTTCGGCTTTAAAATGACGGAAAGATGTTTCCTTCGTCGCGCTCGGCCGATTCATCAATATCTGGTCCTACTGTATGTGATTATATTCTCAGAGAAATAAGTAGATATAGAGACGCAGAACATGTCAATATCATTGGCTGTAGTTATTTACAACATCGCTATATTAATGCGAGATGATAAAAATGGACTTAAAACATTTATCGATATGATCAACAATGTTTGGAGATCTAGACAGTATTCTCAACTTACCAAACTTAAAATTCTTAATTCAAACGTCACAATAGTTAACAAACTCCAATTATTCATAAACCGCTGTTTGCGAAAAATTGTAGGAATATTCTAGACTAATGATATCTTACGTGTAATTCGAATCCAGTGTTCTTGGGTCAGTTTCCAGACACACTTAATTGCATATGTACTTTTTGATCGAACTTAAGTTACATATTAAATATCGAAAAATAAGTACTAGAAGAGCCTTTTATTAACTTTTATTTCATTATATCGATACATCTATATCAACGTCTGAACTCCCAAGGCTATACTATAATAAATATTAATTATTTTGTTTCTGGTCATTATAGAAGCACTAACGCTGTTAATTTTCGAAAGGAAATGGAATCGGCAAATATATAATTAAAATGGGGCGAAAGGAACAGAGGAAAACGGAACGAACGGTAATAAGATTAAACAAATTAAACTGGTAATCTGTATGAAATAATGGGGACCCAAATTAAACACGCGTGTTGTCAAAACGCTAACACTATTGTTTGGGGAATGTAACCGTCTGTACCATGGGGATTTATAACTATTTCGGTGTAATAACACCAGATAGATCCTTTTATGAAAGTTAAAATTACCTACATCGTTTTTTTTTATTAAAAAGAAATGCAATTACATTACTTGCTATACAGACTCACAAATGAAATCTGCATTAAATAGGATTTTTTTATTATAGGTATATATGATTTTTGCATACATGCACTGATCAGTCTTCAAAATACTTTATGCAAAATACTAGTATTTTCAAAAAGTCCCGGGTAATTGGATATACATACATTTTTTCAGATATTTTAGGAACCGTTATTGCGCTTTGAATGAGATTTCGGAGGACTATGTTTTGCTAAGTGCTTTAACATTTGGCTTTCACAAAAAGCAAGAAAAAGTACGGAAAGGGCGAAAACTGCCCCCACCCCTGCATAAATTTTAGTGTAAATATTTTCCACCGACGATACATTTTCTTTTCGTAAAATGGTCCCTTGGCTTTTCTTTTCGTAAAATGGTCATTTTTTACAAATTACAAAATAACTACGTATTTTTTCAATCAAAATAAGTTAATTGCATCTAATTTTCCTTTATATAAAAGTGTTTCGTTTGTCCGTTAGATGTCATAAGGAAAAAATAAACCCGAAAGATAATTAATTTAAAATTTATTATTTTTTATAATTTTTATGAAGCTTATTGTCAAATATAATTTGTGGTACTAATATAAATTTCCATATTTTTTCCAACTAGATTATTAGAGCATACAATATTTTATGCGCCTCCAATCAGCTTCGGATAAATAATGTTTTCCTCAAAAAGTATGCGCGGTGGCGTTTTTTAAGAGACAAAATATGTAGTAAATACCAGAGAGACCATTATGCGAAAAAAAAATCGGTCGTCGGTTGAGTTTGAAAACATTTATACTAAAATTTATGTAGGCGTGGAGGTAGCTTTCACTCTTCCCGTACTTTTTCTTGATTTTTGTGAAAGTCAAATGTTAAAGCACTTAGTAAAACAGGGTCCTCCAAAATCTCATTCAAATCGGAATAACGGTTCTTGAAATATCTGAAAAAATTGTGGGTTTGATGCCCTCTAAGGGCAAACCAAGCACTTTTGTATATAGGTAAATTGTGTCCAATGAACCTATTTTGGTTACAAAAATACGTAGTAGTATTGTCCTATACGTAGTAGTCTATGTCCACGGAATATTGGAACAGCCAGATTTGTGACTTTTGAAATATAAAGCTAATCATTTTCCATAAGTTTGATTATAAAATATATACAATATAATGATATAATATAATGATAAAAGTTTTAACGAATTTTAAACGTGTTATTTGTTTGGTTTCAGCAAAAAGTTCGATTTTGGTTTGCAACAGGCGGCGCGGGATTTTGCTTGAGCAGAGCCCTGGCTTTGAAAATGATGCCGTTAGCGAGGTAAGTCATTAAAACTTTTTGAGGCGCCTTTTACGTTTGTTTGGGGATAATAACGAGATCGGCGAAGGGCACGCTTAATAAAAGGATTGACTCGTGAGGGTTTTAAGTTTCTAATGGTTTTCGGTATTACACATAATGCCATATTTTTGTTGAAAAATTCCACTAGAGGTAGCTGGTGAAGATAAGCTTTGACAATATCTCGAATATTGATCAATGAAATTATGATTATTGTATTGGAAATACGTCTGCGTATTCAAATTTCTATATCTACGACACTATGCAAAATAATCAGAAATAAACACCTACATGTCCTGTAGGGAATATGTGAGCTCGCGCTAAACACAGTAGAGAGATCGGCAATAGTTGAGTAGAAGTTTTTCTCTTGATTATTTTTAAAGCCCCTTACAGCACTAAGGACGATTTAATATAGATTTTTTTATTACGCAAAACTGGTTTAGAAAAAATTGAATATCTCTACCCGAGAGGCAAATTATGTTAAGTGACAAATCATAGTTTTGAGAAAACGAATTTAAAGTTCTTTTTTGCAGTTATGTCCTAGTTACTTGGTTATTTTTAATACTATGATTGTAATATTTAGCATATGAACAACTTATTTTGAGCTTAAATGAAATGTAAAACAGTTATTTTTAATAAACTACCAATACAATTACAAATTACAAATACCAACATTTTTTTGAGCGACAACATAATTTTTATATTAAAATATTAAAACAAGAAACATTAAAATATTAAAACAGGACAGGAAACTTATATTAAGCTTAACTTATATTAAGTCCCTACTTATGTCAAAATGAATAAGCTAAATCATTTTAAAGTCCAAATAAAACATTATATTACTGATATAATAAGAACACATTTAACAGAAAATTGCAAAATAGGTATGTGTGTTGCAATTTGGAACCAATTTACTATTTTTATTAAGTTTAAATTGACTACCCTATAACAGCAAAACGGTGAAAATCAATCTTCGTCACTGTGGACCCGTGGACATAACATACTAAACTAACCAAAGATGTTTAAGCCAAACTGCGTTTCCGTAACTTAACCTCATTCAGCCCAGGGCTGACATAGGACTTATGTAATTTGATTTTAAACCCACTATTTTATTTATTTGTACGGAAACGAGAAACAGCAAGGGGTAGAAACTGAAAAGCTACGTAACTTGATGTAAACGAGTATATCTCAAATATGCCAATTTTTGACTTGACATAGTTTGCTTCTAGGGTATAGAAATAAATTTAGGCGTCTAAAAACTTTCTATTTTTTCTAATTTTTCTACATTAACTTTTTTTCTACTTTAACTAATTGGTAGAGGTAAGGTAACGATTGATTTCCGTTATGGTCTTCCCGGCAATATCTTCAAGATGTACGAAGTTGTAGCCTCCAAAGAAACCATTCCGGGTCCTATTATACATCGACAAAATTATCCATTCTATAGATCTCTTCCAAAATAATAGGAACATTTTAATTGGCAACTGTATCTTCAATTCGTCAATCAAATCCGACCTCGGGAAACACCGACAACCCAGTGTCCCGTCTGGCCGTCCCGTCCGCGGATCCGACCTAATTGACGGCCGATTAGATAGAAATAAAACCATTAATTCGAGACCGGACGCGCGAATTCCAGAAATATCGGCCGGCGAATCAGAGCTAATGAGCTTGAATGTTTTCGGCCAATTAGGGAGCGGTGTTTGGACGAATTGTGGCGCGACAAGGAGAAGGCAAAGATCGGCTGGGAACGGATGACGACAAGTCCTCTGCCCTTTACTCGACACAAAACAAAACGGTGGAGAAGTAAAAAAAAAATGGGATCGACCCAGTCGGCGAAATGGCCGAATGATTGAGGATGATTACGTTATGGGAGCTCCCGTTTGCGAACGACCAAAGTCTTTGGAGTTTTTTCTTGTGCCGGTCATTCAATACCGATTCGGCGATGGCTGCCGAAAATATCTGTAATCGAATTACAGGTAAATGAGAGATTGGAATGGAATGCCTTTAAATAAGTTGCATTTAGATTGCTTTAATCAATATAGATTATACATACCGTGTGGTGCATCGGAACACGGGATATAGGAAATCGCATGTCAATTTTAAAAAGGTCAAACATTATCTCCTCAGGCACAGAATATCTAGCTACGCAACAGAAAAATACTCGAAATGAAAGAGCTAAAATTGCACAAATAGAATACTAGATGGCGCGACAATATCATAATCAGAATATAATTAGAAATTTTGAACTTTCGGTTTTGGATCGACGGATCGTCGACGGCCTTGTAGCTCGGCTAAATATGCACAGTTGCCAGATTCAAAAAGACTTGAATTGACATCCCATTCTTTTTACTGTGTATAAAGCAGTATGTGTTTCTTTCTATTCTTCTTTTCTTGTCAGATACACTTATATAAATTATTCCTTTGGCTATTAAAATAGTTTTAAGTATATTATTACAAAACATATACATTTTTAATATACACTACCTTATAATGTTAACTAAGAAAATACCTTTAATTACCTTTAAAATTAATAATATACAGGGCGATTGATAGTGATATTTATTAATGCTGGAACGTTAGTAATGAAATATAAGTTTAATAATAATGGAAATAATTTATTAAAATGCAGTACAAAAAATGTTAACTGACTAAAATATACTATAATAACAAATTTCTTCCGTTTGCCACGTGATTTATATAGGCCTAGGTAGATTTTAAAAAGTGACACAGGTACAATTAATAATATATTAGTTCGGCCTAAAAGTTGCTGTCATGACATCGAACAATAAATTAAAATTCGTAAAATAAATTAAAATTATTAATTAAACAAATCTTTATAAAGAAACGCAAGTACACCAAATTTGGGCCCAATCGAACTCCAGGAGATGATATCATAATAGTGTACTATATTATGGTACCACTCTATATGCTTAAAGGTACCATAATATTGCAATGTCACCGAAGATCCGTAGTATACCAAATTTAAGAACAATCGAACGCCAGGAAATGGTATCGTAATATGGTACTATATTAAGGTACCACTTTATATGCATAGTACCATCATATTACATCAATGTCACCGAAAATACGTAGTATCCGAAGTTTAAGCCCAATCGAACGCCATGTACGTAATATAGTACTATATTATGGTACCAGTTGATATGCTTCATGGTACCATAATAATGCAATGTCGTCAAAAATACGCAAGTATATATCAAATATGAGCTCAATCGAACGCCAGGAAATGGTATTGAAATATGGTACTATATTAAGATACCACTTTATATGCATCATAGTACCATCATATTACAATGTAACCGAAGATACGTAGTATACCAAATTTAAGCCCAATAGAACGCCAGGAAATGGTATCGTAATATGGTAATATATTATATAGTACCTCTTATTATACTCCATGGTACCATAATACTACAATATCACAGAAGATACGTAGTATCCCAAATTTAAACCCAATCGAACGCCATGTACATAATATGGTACTATATTATGGTACCAGTTGATATGCTTCATGGTACCATAATAATGCAATATCATCAAAAATACGCAAGTATATATCAAATATGAGCTCAATCGCCAGGAAATGGCATTGAAATATGGTACTATTTTAAAGTACCACTTTATATGCATCATAGTACCATCATATTACAATGTCACCGAAAATACGTAGTATACCAAGTTTAAGCCCTATTGCCGCCATGTACCTAATATTGCTATGTCATCAAATATGGTACTATAGAAGGTACCACTTTATATGCTCCATGGTACCATAATATTACAATGTCACTGAAGATATAGAATACCAAGTTTAAGCCCAATCGAACGCTATGTATCGTAATATGGTACTATATTAAGATATCACTTGATATGCTTCATGGTACCATAATATTGTAATGTCATGAAATATAAGTATATATCAAATACCGTATGATACCGAAAAAAACGGCGTCCAGTTGGCTGGAAAAGGACGATCGATGACATTTCCCATATAAATTTACATATAAAATGACAGCGATATACGTAGCCATCGCTAACGCCGTTTTTTTCCCGATTATACGATATGAACTTGGTATGAACACAATCGAACGTCAGGAGGTGGTATCATAATAGTAGAACAACACTTATTATATTGTCGCCGAATTACAATGAAAATTCAGGATTCAATTATACAATCACACGTCAGGAAGTGATTGTAATTTAGCTAATAAGATTTAATTCCAACTAACATGGCAAATTGAAAAAAACAGCTCTGATCTATTTTAATATGTTTAAATGATGTAGCAAATTTGAAGGTAGTCTTTATCAGGAAGTATTACGATATGAATTACACAATGGCAATACTGCACAAAATTCTTTTAAATTTTGTTTGTAGAAAACTGTTTTCTTTTAAATTTATTGCCCTCTATTATGTAGTAGCGAAACTACCGCATCAAAATATCTGATTTGGAGACAGGCTTTAAAAGCCTGTCTCCTTTTGCTACCTACAATTTTATACATGTAACGAGGCTTCTGTTGCGTAGCTAGATATTCTGTGCCTCAGGTGATATTATGCAAATGTTGTATTAGACTTTTTTGAAGAGTCGTTAAATTTGTACTTTTGTGTAGAATTTCGTTTTATTTGAAATAGTAATTTAAAAGTTATTTGTAAAAATCTACCTTCAAATTAGTAAAATTTATAATACGGCCCAGAGAAAGCTACAATTAAAATACCAGCAAAAATGTGATTGTGTCATTGTCAAATTCGGTGTCACATTTTGTTTACAAAGGTTTGAAGGTACCAAACGCAGTAATTTTGTATAAAATAATTATGAATTTCGCAACTTCTGTACAAGTTACGATAGTATTTCACCCTTCCTTTATTGCAGGGTGCAGTTTTGGTCTTGGTCTTGATTTTTGTGCAAGACTCTTGCACTTTTTTAAAATGTTTTTACTAGAGGCACTTTTATCTACGAAAAATGAGATGTAAATAA